CAATGTGCTTTTTTTTCCCCTTTCCCTCAGGGGTGAGAGCCGAATGTGATCGATCCAGGCCAGTAGGCCATGGCAATAATTTCGCCTGCTAGAATGTCCCCCCCAAATAAAATTCTTCCTAATTTTTCAAAATTCCAAATTTATCCTCTCTATATATCTATTTGTTTTTTTCACCAATATTAGTCACTACATATATATGCATGAATGAGAGAGCTGCATGTTGGGATCAATTATATATCTAGTTAACTAGCACCCTCTCCTTTGCATCTCTTGCATTATATACATATCAAAAAGTTTATTCCTATATGTGTGTATGCTAGCTAGCTAACTTGATGTTTACCAATTACTTAGTAGGATAGTTTTAGTTTATTTTAAAGATCACTTGTAGGGTGATTTTGATATTGCATAGGCATATGGGAGAGAGAACAAGTATATAGTAGTAGTACATGCTATAGCTATTAGATGTGCATATAGAAAGATATACAGTATATAATAGAAAGAACAGTGTACCACATGCCTGGATAAGCTAGGATTAATTAGGAGGACATTGCGTAGTGGCTTAGCTATCTCTCAAAAGCTTAATTGGGAGTTGTGTTCATATCCCAATTCCGTTAATTACCGAACTATAATAAATTGATTTTACTGTCTATATATAGTATATCTATATATCTTCTTCTGAGTTCTGACCATATACAAACCTTTCATATAATATATATGCAAGCTTTTAGGCCATTGTAGCACTTGCATCTATATACTTCCTCCGTCCTAAAATGTAGTCCTAAAATATAGGGGATTTTAGCCGGATGTGACATATTCTAGTACTACAAATTTGAACAAACAGTATATTCATATTTGTACTATTAGAATATATTACATCCGGTTGAAATTCCTTATATTTTAGACGGAGAGAGTAAATACTAACTACTATGAAAGAAGAGGAATCAATTAATACTAAATTTTTAGGCATTGCATTCCATTCCATTTGAAAGATAGCTGCATCTGCAAGGGAAAGATGTTCATAAATGTTGTCTCTCTTGGATATAAAGATGCAGGGAAAGAAACCCTACCAACCGGCAGTAAAAGTAATGTTGCTAACTGCTATACACTGTATTAGATCAGATTGACAAGTTGGGTGTGTGTGTCGATTCACCAACCTGCATCCAGATAGCTTAACTAGATCGATCCAAAACCTTAGATGATAAGTTGGTGAGGTGTTCTCCTTTTTGGATGCATTGCATTTACAGATTGCCCAACCAAGATTCGAATTGAAAGGGCTAATTCGTGAATATTCACCGTGGTAAGAACTGGCGCGAACGCCCGACACACACTTTTATCTTTTCTGTTTTCACCGTGTTTTTATGTTTCTGGTAATTAAATTTGTTCCAAGTTCGATTTGGAATCGAAAGTTTATATGATCTATTTCAATTCAAAATCAAAGTTTGTTATGAATAATGTTTCTCTACAAAAGCGCGCAATAGGACCGACGAGTACGTACGCGAGGAGGACCGAATGCGCGATGCGAACATTCACAAGTTAGACCTATCCAACACCAAAATTTGTTTCATAAAATTTGTAAAAAAAAATTGTTTCATTTAATTTAATATAATCACTAGCAGTCGCAGGTCAATTAGGGAGACATTTCCATCAACTATAGTATACGTGCATTTGTGTTTTAATCAAGAAAACAAACAATTATTTAGCACAAGTGGCGTGTGTCATATATATGGACAAGTACAATGGTCCTGCTTAGTTTCCACACAAAAAATTTTATATCATGTCACATCAAACATTTGAACACCTACATGAAATATTAAATATAGGCTTAAAAATAACTAATTGCATATATTATGACTAATTTACAAGATGAATCTTTTAAGCCTAATTGCTACATGATTTGACAATGTGGTGCTACAGTAAAACATTTGCTAATGATGGATTAATTAGGCTTAATAAATTAGTCTCGTAATTAGTAAAACTTATAGATTCTGTAATTAGTTTTTTATTTGGTGCCTAAAAACCCCATACGACACACACGTAATACCCGATGTGACACGCCAAAACTTTACACCCAGGATCTAGGCCCTGTTTAGTTCGCACCAAACTTCTCCCCAACTTCCAACTTTTCATCACATCACATCACATCCAAAACTTTCCTACACACATAAACTCCTAACTTTTTTTTTTCCAAACTACCAACTTTCCCTAAACTTCTCCCCAATTTCAGAAACTAAACACAGCCCTAAACACCCTGGAATCGAATTAGGCTGTGTTTAGATTGACCCAAAGTTTAGAATTTAGTTAAAATTAGAAACGATGTGACTGAAAAGTTGTGTGTGTATGAAAGGTTTGATGTGATAGAAAGTTAAAAGTTTAAAAAAAAACTTTGGAACTAAACACACCCTTAATCAGCTGAATGTAGCACGTAAATTCCGTAGACATCTCGGGAAAAAAAGGCCGTACGTGTGTACAGTTATAAGGTTGTGTGTCAATACTTGTTTGTCGCCCGTACATACGGTTGGATGGATCATTAATGGTTTCTTAGACGCTTTTGGATATGTTTGTCGACTTGTAATAATTCTACTTACAGTACGTACTTAAAAAGGTAAACAATACGTACCCATTTTATCTGAAAAAAAAAATTCTACATCCATAGTATTCCTTCCGTTACATAAAAAAACAAACTTATGACTATGAATTTGAACGTAGAATACATCTAGGATTTACGTCTAAATGCATAGTTAGAAGTTTGTTTGTTTTGTACAGGACGGAGGTAGCAGTTGAAACATCTGTTGCAATTCATAAGTTGATTCAGAATTTTCATAACGTTAGTCGCATGATATTAGCCATTTCATTTAAAAACAAAAATCAAACGGTTAGGACATACTCATCCAAAAAAAATCAACATAGAAGAAGAATCTGGACAAAAGGATCAAATTCCCTTCTAGGTAAAGTTTTTTTTTGGGACGGAGAGAGTAAGTTCTATCTGTTGATACACTAGTTGTCGTCTTTTCGGGTGGCTCCTTCATCCCTGTAAAAACATACTTTTTTTTAGAATTATATAGTACAACGCATACACTCACAACGCACGCGCACTCATCCCTACGAACACAGACACGCACGCAAACCCTACCCCTATAAGCATCTTCGAAGATTGTGCCGGCAAATAATCCTGGAGATTGATAAAGTCACCAAAGACGCCTTGCTATCGACGGGTATGTCACCTACCACTGAAAGTATAAAGCCGTTGAATTCTAAAAAATTCGCTTTTATAGGGAGTCGAACCCGGTTTAGCGAGAGAAGCACGTAAGGTAACATGAATCATATTAGAATTTGTGATGGGAGTGAAGGTCCAATGGAATTATGTAATCTTTTGTTTGAACGAAGCTAGCTCCGTTCATGAAAGGAGAGGGGTTGAGGCAAAGTGAATTAGGATTGATGAATACGACGAGTGACTTGGTTTGAACCACTTTAGCAAATGAATCGGGTGTGTTTAGTTCACGTTAAAATTAGAAGTTTGTTTGAAATTAGAACGATGTGATGAAAAAGTTGGAAGTTACGTGTGTAGAAAAGTTTTAATGTGATGAAAAAAATAAAAGTTTAAAGAAATATTTTGAAACTAAACACGGCGCAAGCGGAGAAAAATCTTGTGAAAAACACGGAGTACTAGTCTGAGTCGTGTTGGATTCTGACCATTTTTGGTCAGTCAAGGCGTATCATGTGTGACACTGTAAGTCAGGCCGTCCGGAACAGCAATGGAACAGTTGAGCTAGCCGACTACTACTACCGCTAGTAACAGCAACTACGAGCTGTGTTTTTCTCCCACTTCCCAACTCACTATCTTGTTTTCTACTCCCTCCGTTGTAGAAAATAAAAAAAAAAGACAAACCCTGAGTTTTCGTGCCAACGTTTGACTGTCCGTCTTATATGAAATTTTTTTATAATTAGTATTTTCATTGTTGTTAGATGATAAAACATGATTAATACTTTATGTGTGACTTATGTTTTTAATTTTTTTCATAATTTTTCAAATAAGATGGACGGTCAAACGTTGGACATGGAAACCAGGTTTATCTTTTTTTAGGACGGAGGGAGTACGTAACAAAGTGTATTTTCTTTTAAAAATACTATATATATAAATTACTTAAAAAATCATATTGATAAGTTTATAAATTTTGTAAGTTAATATTTAACTAATACATTAATAGTGCGGGAGGTGGAAGGCCCCATCATTTAGCTTTTTTTCTAATAAGCCGAAAGGGAATAAAAATCAATTTATAGATAAAACTTTTATATATTTGTTATTGGTGACTTAAAACCTAATGCTGAAAAAGAAACCACGTTGAAAATATCTCAAAATTAAATTTAAAAACTTAAAATTTGTCTTTTTCTTTAGCTGATTAGGCTATCGGATGGGATCCGGAGACTCCAGAACAGCAGTAAGGGTATCCACAATGTACTTCAAAACCAATCCATAGCCAATAAAATAATACATTCAGCTATCTAACCACATTGTGAAAGTAGTTCATAGGAGAGAAATAGCAAAAGTCATCCATAAACATATGGGCTGCCCATATAGAATAAAATATGTCATTTGTCTCTATTTCCTCTCTCCTCCTCATACTACATAGTACTACCCATATATATTGTGAATGTTGCAATAGTTAAAGTCCACAAATGTGGGACATCTATATGGACTACTTTAGCTATATACATTAGTGTTGCCCTAAGGGCATCACAATGTATTCTAAAAGTGGTCCATAAGCAATATAATATTTGTTTCAGCCACCTAGCAACATTGTGGAACTAGTCCATAGAGAAAAAATTATATTATTTGTCTCTACCTCTTCTCTCATTATAATACTATTTGCTATCCATATACACGGTGAATGTTATAATAGTTAAAGTTGTTGATATAAGTAGTCCAGTGTGACCGTTGCAGCCACCATCCCTGGCACGTCTCCACAACCTTTGAAGTTCACCCGTGCGTGCACCGCGGCGCACACACTACACCACCATCCCCTCCCCCCCTACCGCCTCGTTTCGCACACCTCTCCTCCCCCCCATCCCATCATCAATTCTTCAATCAATCATCCCTCTTCTCTTCTCTTCCCATTTCAATTTTCCTTTTCCCCTCATAAAATCACTCTCCCTCTTCTCTCTTCCTCTTCTCCCCCCAAAAACCTCGCCTCCGCCCGATCGCCTCGCCGCCTTAACCCCCACCCCCGATCTCCTTCCTCACCGACGACGCGCGCCCCACTCCCCCCACCTCAATGCGCGCTTCCTAGGGCATATGACCGGTACTACGACAACCATCACCTCTCGCCGTCACCGTCATCGTCGGGATGGAGCTCGCCGGCAGCAACAACAAGCGGGGGAGGGTGAGGGGGCCCAACGACGACGACGACGACGCCGGGGAGCCGGACGCCAAGCGCCATCACCACCAGCTGCTGTTGCCGTGGCCGCAGCAGCAGCAGCAGCAGCATCCGGCGTCGCGGATCTACCGGGTGTCGCGGGCCTCCGGCGGGAAGGACCGCCACAGCAAGGTGTACACGGCCAAGGGCATCCGCGACCGCCGCGTCCGCCTCTCCGTCTCCACCGCCATCCAGTTCTACGACCTCCAGGATCGTCTCGGGTATGACCAGCCGAGCAAGGCCATCGAGTGGCTCATTAAGGCCGCCGCCGCCGCCATCGACAAGCTCCCTTCGCTTGATACCGCTTCCTTCCCCACCAACCCCGCCTCCTCCGCCGCTGTTGCTGCTGCTGCTGCTCCTCCTCTTCCCCATGCCGAACGCGAGCAGCAGCAGCAGCTCACCAAGTCCGGATGCAGTAGCACGTCGGAGACCAGCAAGGGCTCCGTCCTCTCCCTCTCCCGCTCCGAGAGCCGCGTCAAGGCCAGGGAGCGCGCCAGGGAGCGGAGCAGCGCGGCCGCCGCCGCGGCATCCAAGGACGCCGGGGACGACGCCGCCACCCCCACCGCGCCCACCGCCGCGCCCGCCTCCTCGCAGGCGGCTTCCTTCACCGAGCTACTCACCGGGATGGCCGCAGCCAACGCCTCACCCGCTGACCACAAGCAGCAGCAGGCGTGGCAGCCGATGACCGTCGCCGCGGCCACCGCCGACTACATCGGCTTCGCCGCCGCCGCCGCGCCGCATACGCAGCCGCGGAAATCCGCCGCGGGCCATCACTCCGCGATGCCGCACACCTTCGCATCACCCGCTCCCCACCTCGCCAACATCACCCCCATCGCCATGGCGCCCGCGCAGCACTTCACCCTCACACCCGCCGCCGCCGAGCACCACGCGGAGATGACGCACTACTCGTTCGACCACTTCATGCCCGTCCACGCGGCAGCAGCGGCGGCGGCGGCGGCCTCCACCCCGGCCGGCGGCGACTACAACCTCAACTTCTCCATGTCCTCGGGTCTTGTGGGTGTCCACAGTAGGGGGACCCTTCAGTCCAATTCGCAGTCTCACCTCTCCAGCCATCACCACCACCATCACCAGCAACAGCAGCAGCAGCAGCAGCTGCAGAGGCTGTCTGCTCCGCTGGATGCGCCCAACATTCCGTTCCTCTTCAGCCCGGCCGCCGCGCCCACCGCCGCGGACACCCAGTTCGCCGCCGCATTGCAGCTCTGGGACGGGTTCCGGCACGCCGACATCAAGGAGAAGGGCAAGCACTGATCAGATCAGCAGCCGCGGGCATCGACGGCGACGTCTCTTCTTGGATGGTAAGGGGCCATGAACTGATCTCCACTCTCCCCCAATTGCTTCATGTTCAGCTTTGCTTGCTTTTTGGCAGCTTGTGCCTTGGGGGAATTTGTTTAAGCCCCCAATTGCGAATTTGATATGGTTTAATCTCCAACTTTTGGTGGCTCTCGAGGTGGCCTTGTGTCCCTCAATCGCACAAAACACTCGGGCTGTTCTTGAGCAATTGACGAGTGTCTAAGCTTTAGGGGGAGGGAGCATTCAGCTCAACCCTTTTACAACAGGTGTCGATGCACTACTCACCGGGCTGGGATCTTGCTTCTTGTTCTGTTCCCCCCCAACAATTATTTCATAGGAGACAGGCCAATCGCACGGTTTCTGCTTGCCCGGCATTGGATTTTTAATGCCTTAATTTGTTGTAACCACACCCTCCCTACGTTGGGGTAGTATTGCTATTGCATGGATGGAAGGGATGATGCATCTGTATTGTCAAATGCTTGAACTGCAAATACAGAATGGATGGAGAAAAATACCCTGTAGTCTAAGCTGTTTCCTAGTGTTCTTTTGATAGGCATTGGCTTTGTTGAGAAGTGGACGCTAACCCCCAATGTCTATTGTCTTTAGCAAGAACTAGAAAATTTTCAGAAGAGCTCGGAGCTGAATATGCAGCTCAGCGTAGCCAAAACAAGTTCCTGTTCATGCCATTTTAACAAGTAGTATTTTGGTTGTTGTGCTTGATGTTTGTTTCTGCTTTACTACTAGTTACTAGCAGTTAGCACACAGAGTTGTGTGCCACCACCAAGTCAATGCATTCAATGCCTTGCCTGAAGGATACAACTAGAACTTTTTCTTGGATTGCATAGTTTTGTCTAGCTAGAAAATGTAGCAAGCTCAAATCACTTAGGAAGAAATACCTCCTAAGCAGTACAGCTTCATGAGGTCATTTTCTTTTATCAGGTCATATCTTTTTCTAAGATAGTTTCATTTATTGTTGGGAGTCTAGATGTTTACTGACTTAGTTCGTCAATAGTAGAGATGGAGAATAAGGCATGTGCAATATATGTGTTGTTGAACTATCAGTGCTAGACTGCTAGTGATGGAGTTAAGGTGCTAAAGTCTTGAGGAGTTATCTTAACATCTTTTCAATGAAAAGAGAAAACTGCGAACGATGCGACTTCACAAAAAAGAAAAGAAAATATCAGAGGAAGCTAATCCATATGCATCTACCGATGTTGTAAAAAATAAGTGCACACGTTTTAGCGCTGTTGCTTTAACTGTGAAGTGTTTCCTCAAAAAACATCTAATGGTTGACACTTAGGCCGAGTATGGGACATCTATCTCTGTCAAACTCAAAGGTGCCATGGGGCCAAGCAATCAAACATCAGTCTATATCAAATTCTAAGGGCAAACCATACATCAAAGCATACTATTAGCGATAATTGACAAATGACTGTGATATAAGCATGCTGTTCAAGATTTGGTTGCCCTTTAACTGGATGTGAACTTCCAAGGACCCATCAGGGAGCACTGAAAATCGTACATATTATAGTTTCTGAGTAGTTATATTCACTTACATATCGCAGTATCAGTAGATAATTCACACCATGTTAAGTCATCTTTACAGGGACTTACATAGTATTTCATGATCAGCTCTCGTAATAACCCTTAAGCTAGCGCTCAATTTGGAAATTTAGGCTGTGAGATCTGAATGTTCATATAGAACTATTCTTTCGTTGAAGTAATTTTATACATAGCTAGTTCCCTTTTTTATTCAAAGTTAATAGCAGAAGGAAGTTCTTTTCATGGTCCTTCAGACTTAAAAAGGGAACAAATCATACAAAGTACAACAGCTATGCGGTTAAAAGCTGAATTGCGTCGTTGCAGTTAACACCCAGTGGTTATAGTTATGTTAAGATTTGTGTAATTCTCTTCTGGAAAAACATGTTCTTAGATCTGGGTTAGCGAAAATCATTCTCAGTAGTTAATCCCTCAAGTATTAATACATTATGGATTATGTTGATAATCATTAGATAGTTGATTGTCATGGAAGACATTCTCAGAATTTGCGTCATGTTCCTAGGTGATATTCTAAAAGACTTCATTGTCAGGATCATGTTTCCTAAATTTTGCCTTAATCTTTATGTAACTCAGCCCTTTCTGTTCCTCACCAACTAACATGTGCTACATGTACCTTTTGTCATATTTGATAGGAAAATGTGAGAAGTGCCACTGTGAAGTAGTATGTTGTATCATGAAATGGTTGAGATTTTCTTTTGTGTAGAAGAGTGCTCAAATATTATGCTTTCCTTTATTGATGCTTTCTAGCGCTAAATAAAACTAAACCCGTATCCCGTATGCCATATTGAATTTTAAGTGCTTCGTATTTCAGGAAAGTTATCTCAGCTGGAATACTGTGTACATGATACAAAGCTGAGATTTTAAACAGTATACTACCTTAAGACTAGTTTATCACAAAGATAAGCACCAGAGTAGCCAAAAGGTGCCTTTTTTTATTGTTTTGTAGCTTAGCTATAACTTTGGTCTAACTACTGCTTTTCCATGTAAGTTGTATATATTAAGATAAGCTTGAAATACATCAACATGCTTGTGAATTGACTATTGAGTTTACAAAAAATAACTTTTAGTACTTAGACCCAGTAATCAAACTAATACAATAAGCCTAAGTTAGCACAATCTTGTTCATGGGCCATTATTACAAAGCTTGAATGAATGTCTCTAGCACTTCCTACCTTTTACTGCCCAAGAACTGTCATATGTTTGACATGATTTCTTTGTTTGTCAAATAAAATGATTTGGATCCTTGCGTTATAGTTGCTAGGATTAGAATCTGTTGTCTCAAAGGTCTTTAGTACATGTGGTTTACTATGTTCTTCTAGAGTCCTGGAATATAAATCTACTCAATAGACCAGGAAAAAAAAGCATTATGATTAACATCAATCCGACAGGTGAGATGAAGCTGGGGTTTTATTGTCTTCTCTGATAGAATCATTCCAGAAGGATCAGTTAACTCACCAATATAGTAGGCAACTTATGCTGCTACTGTGATTAATAATATGAAAGTGCTTCATCAAGAAAACTAGAATGACCAAAAGGTGCTCTGCTAAAACAGTTTGGTCCAGCTGTCCATTTTTTTTAAAGCAAAAGTTTATAGGCTGGCCTACTATATGTCTATATCTCAGCCTCTGTCCATCTGTCAGCAATGCCACACTATTGGAGTGACAGATCTGGGAATATATAGACACAGTATTACCCATTGTTTCGTAACATCAGTTTAAAGATTGCGCGCTACCTTTTAAGGTTAAGTTTAGTAGAATTTGCACATAGTTTGACAAGTAACTTGTATTTCTTCTGATGGAGATTTTCATTCTTGATTATTTACAGGAAGTGAAAACATCAAAACGTTGCAAGCCATTCCTGTGAGCAACATCCACAGCTTGAAGCTGCCATAAGTGAATGCTGGATGCATTCTCGGAAGTAGAGCATCAACTGCACATCTACCTTGGTCACGGGAGGACCTCATCATCGCTATTCAGATGATCTTGTGCTTTTCTCTGCCTGTTGTTGTATTCATTTTGTTGAGTTGAGAATTTGGGAGCATTACTCGCCGGAGTGCCCTGAGGAGGGGACGCCCTTGTAATCCTTTCTGTTGTAAACTATGTCAATGGATGCATGCGGCTCTGGACTGGATTGGTTCTTTGCCTCTTTTGACACTGTGAGATCGGTTGCCTGTCAATTTTATTGTTCTCGGTTGTGAGAGAAGTAAAGAACTTGAAATCCAATCTATCAGATGTACTCTATCTGCGGTGAATTCTTGCCAAATACTGTACTCTTGAGAGATGTAAATTCAACTTGTTTCTAGTGGCTGTTGGTTGTCTGCTTCTGCCAGCCCATTTGCTGAACTTACCGAACGTTATGCTGGACTTGGCTTGGCTTACATTACCTTCTGGTTATTTCAGTACTTGCACAGCATGTGCAGAAAACATATGCAAACCTTCATGGTCTTTTATCTTACCAAATCAAAGTTCACACATGTGTTGGATCTCCAAAGCTTTGTGAAAGCTGCTATGTTACATGTGGACTTTGGGTGAGCAGTTCTTTGTTGCTCACTTGCTTGTTGCTGCTGCGTTCTGATAAAAAGCAGGTATTAGTGCATTTCAACCTTACTTTGGTTGAGCCATGGCAGGAAGGATGCATGGATCAGCTCATCACTTTTATCATTGGCTGGCTTGCTGGAATACCTAATTTCGTGTGCCTTGCTGACCTGACTTGCTTGCAGAGTTTGCAGGACACCAAGTCAAAACCAACAGTGGTAGCTGGAAAAAGATGGTCAAGGCATCGACTTTTGGCTGCCGACTGCAGGGCTTGCTTGTCCATACATGATAAAGATGATAATTTTTCCAAGGTACTGTGATTTATTTCCATTTATTTTGTTTTACAGTAAGTTGGCAAGGTCAAAGAGAGGAAAAATCACTGTAGTCAAGAAATTAAGAGCAAGAAAAAAAATCAGTAGATTAATTTGTTATATTTATTATGAGCTCAATATATATACTGTTTAAGTATGTACAATGCAGTGTGTTGCTACTGAACTTTATCAGGGTAGTAAAGTAGATCTTTGTGGACTGATGAACTGAACCTATCTCTGCCTATTTGGAGTGTTTCATAAAGGGAACACTCCAAACTCTGAAATATCTTCCTCCACTGCAGGGTAGTCACTGAAGTTAACTGGACTACTTCAGATCCTTTAACCGATGGTTAATCTTGGTCAGAACGACAGATTTCTTGTTCAAACTGAGGTTAGATTATATCCACAGCTTCTTGGAGCACAACAATAACACATAACCTAGAGGTTCCTCAACTAAGATCTCAGTTAAGTTGTGGATGCTCCCTTGCTAGTTTATACTCAGCTGGTAAAAAAGAATTGAAGACACTAGCCTGCCAAACAAGAAAACAAGCAACTGGTTAGCATATAATGTTGTCCAACTGGTAGTAAATTAATGCGCCGAAAATTATTTCTGGTATAAGTGGCTGAAAACTTGGTGATGATGCATATATTTTGTAGCTCTTACAAGACGTCCTATGAGCCTATGGACTGACAATATGCAATTTTTCTGTAGTAATGTTTCAGTTTCATGCACAACCAATTACTTGACAAGGTTGATCTGTTGGAACTGAAAAAAATAATAGTATAATTGTATTTTGCGCTAAAACAATGTAGCCGCTACCTGATACTATCGTTAACTATAGAATGAAAATAAATCATAGGCAAGATCAATGACAGGCTGCTTATTCAATAATTCTCATCTCACCTCTAATGTTTAAGAGAAGAATCATCTTCTATAGGCGCCTCCGATGCTGGAGACGAAAAAGAATCATAAGCAGAGGCTCTGGCATCCATCAGCATTGATATTACTTCACGCATGCTAGGCCTATCTAGTGGCGACTCGCTGGTGCAGAACAATGCAATCTTCAGAACCAGTGAAATTTCTTCCAGAACCCTCCTTGAGTTCAGATTCAGCCTGCTGTCAAAAATTTCAGAATTTGTTGTCGAACTGTTTGTCATCCGCCTCACTAGATTGACAAGATCCCCTCCTTGCTCAAGAGGTTGAATCGGAGATTGTCCCGTCACTAGCTCCAACAAGACTACCCCGAAGCTATAAATGTCACATTTTTCAGTCACCTTCATGGTAAAAGCATACTCTGCATTACCATAAGAATCATGGAATTAGAGCTTTAGCAGTTAAAACAACTAAACAAACTATAAATTACCACTGTATGGTATAAAGACCAAGTGAAACTATTTGACTTGATGGTATAAATAATTCTGAACTTTTAACCTAACATGGTGAGTCAGTAGCATATCTAACCTGGTGCAATGTAGCCATATGAACCGGCAATAGCAGACATTGTTCTGGAGTTGGAAATATCAATCAGTTTTGCCAAGCCAAAGTCCCCTACATGAGCCTCCATCATTTCATCAAGCAATATGTTGTTCGATTTTATGTCACGGTGAATCACCTTCGGTTTGCAGTCACTGTGAAGATACCTCAGACCTTCCGCAGCCCCGAGAGCGATCCGATAACGGGTGTCCCAGTCCAGTAGACACACATCCTTGCTACCATGAAGCAACTCTCCAAGGCTACCATTTGCCATGTACTCATACAGGATAAGATTGCAGTCCTGATTGGAGCAGAAACCATACAGCTTGACAATGTTCCGGTGCCTGACATTTCCGAGTGTGGTTATCTCAGCTCGAAAGCTTCTATCGACATTGGAACCTTCTCCCTGGCACTTCAGCTTCTTCACTGCAACCCTTCTCCCATCAGGCATGATAGCCTTATAGACAGTGCCACAAGCACCCCTTCCAATTACGGCACTCTCTGAGAAGCTGTCGGTCACCTTCATAAGCTCCTGAAAGGTTATCCGTTCCTTCAGGAAGTAGTGAGGACCTGAAAACCCAGTCTTGCGCTCTTCGTTCGATACAAGATCAGGTATCTTGGATTTCAAGGACCAGCAAACGACTGCGATCAACACCAATGAGACAAACGCGATAACAATGGAGGAAATGCTGATGATCTTCTCCCTGAGAAGCCGCTTCTTCTGCACCGCTGCTTCCCTGCTTGCATAGGCTGACCCTGATAATCCTGAACATGATTTCCCTTTGATACCACAAAGGCCATTGTTTCCCAGGAAATTGCTGCTGTCCATGTGCTGGAACAGCGTGGTGCTGGGAAGCGGCCCGGCAAGATTGTTGTAAGAAAGGTTGCACTCCAGCAGACTCGAGAGCTCTCCGAATGAGGAAGGGACTTCACCTTCTAGCTCATTGTTGTTCAAGTAAAGGAACTCCAGCATGTGCAAGTTTCCTAGTTGAGTCGGGATCTCACCAGATAGCATGTTGTAACTGACATTCAGCGCAATCTGGAGCGCAGTGAGCTGGCCAAGCTCGACCGGCAATTGGCCGGACAAGCGGTTGCCTCCCATCTGCAGCTCGGTGAGCCGGGAAAGGCCTCCGAAACTGCTTGGTACGGTTCCATTCAGACTATTGTCAGATAGCTTCAGTTGCTCCAGGTTCACCAGTGTGCCAAGCTCCTGAGGAATGACTCCAGTGAGGGAGTTCTTACTCAGATCAAGCCTCTGGAGCTTTGTACACCGCGCCAGCTCCCGAGGAATCGGTCCGGTGAGCTGGTTCGACGATATATTGAAGGCGACAAGCTTGGTGAGGTTGCCAATGCCAGGAGGGATCTGCCCAACAAAGTAATTCTCCGACAAAATCAGCCTCTCTATGCTCCTGAACTTGCCGATCTCGGGTGGTATCGGTCCCGAGAACCGGTTCCGGTTCATGTCAAGCGACGACAGGTTCCGCAGCAGCGAAAGCTCGACGGGGAGGCTCCCGGTGAGCATGTTCCCCCCCAATTGGAGCTGTGTCAATGTCCTACAAGCCTTCACGCCCGGGGGGATGTTGCCGATGAGGCGGTTCGATCCGAGGCTCAAGAAGATGAGCTTCTGGAACTTGCAAAGGTGAGGTGGGATGCTCCCCGTCAGCCGATTATCCGACAAATCGAGCACCGAAAGGTTGCTGCCTGCACCAAGCATAGGAGGGATGACACCATGGATTTGGTTGTCGAACAGCTGCAGGTACTCCAAATCGGTGAGGTTCTGAAACTCCATTGGAATTGTGCCGGTGAGGTTGTTGATGGACAGATCAATCCTCCTGATGACGGTGAGCTCGCCGAGCTCCGGTGGGATGCTTCCTTGCAACCTGTTCTCGAAGAGGTAGAGCAGCCGGAGCGTCGGAATCCGGCCGAGCTCGCCGGGGATGACGCCGGTGAGCTTGTTCTCCGAGAGGTCGATCTCGACGGCGCTCTGGAGGTCGCCGAGCTCCCTTGGGATGGTGCCGTCGAGCTGGTTCCGGTAAATGTAGAGCTTGGCGAGGGATGGCAGCGCGCCGAGCTCCCTGGGGACGCCGCCGGTGAAGGCGTTGTCGTTGAGGGCGAGCATCTCGAGGCTGGGGATGTCGCCGAGCTCCGGCGGGATCTCGCCGGAGAGGGCGTTCTGCCAGAGGATCAATGTGGTGAGGTTCTTGAGGCGGGAGAGCTCGCCGGGGAGCTCGCCGGCGAGGTTGTTCTGGGCGAGGCCGAGCACGGCGAGGCTGGCGCACGCGCTGATCTCGACGGGGATCGGGCCGGAGAGGTCGTTGAGCCCTGCGCGGATGATGCGGAGGCGCTGGAGCGCCGCGATGGTGGTCGGGATCCCGCCGGTGAGGTTGTTGCTGTAGATTTCGAGCTCCTCGAGGGCGGTGAGGTTGCCGATGGCCGCCGGGATCTCGCCGGACAGGAAGTTCTCGCTGAGGAACAGCTGGCGGAGGGACGGGAGGGAGCAGAGCGACGGCGGGATGCCGCCGTGGAGGGAGTTGGTGCTGAGGTCGAGCACCTCGAGGGCGCGGCACGCGGCGAGGCCGGGCGGGAGCGCGCCGGCGAGCGCGTTCTTGGACACGTTGAGGACGGCGAGGCGCGGGAGCGCGCACACGGCGGCGGAGAGCTCGCCGTGGAGGTTGAGGCCGTGGAGCGTCACCGCGGTGACCTCCATCGCGGCGGAGCAGGCAATGCCGGGCCACCCGCACGGGTCGCCGCCGCCGCTGCCGCCCGCCGCGTCCCAGCTCGAGAGGCGCCCGTCCACGTCGTCCAGCTTGGTCTTGAACTCCATCAACGCCGCCACCGCCGCCGCCGACGACGACGCCGCGGCGGCGGCAGCGACAGCGGCAAAGAAGACCGCCGCCGCGAGCAACACCCTCGCCACGGATGCCGCCATTGCCGCAACAACCGAGCTCAACCTCGAACGAAAAACGAGCAAAACACGCGCAC